AAGGAAGGAAGAAAGAAAGAAAGAAAGAAAGAAAGAAAGAAAGAAAGAAAGAAAGAAAGAAAGAAAGAAAGAAAGAAAGAAAGAAAGAAAGAAAGAAAGAAAGAAAGAAATTTATCATACTTCAGCCACTCAGATGACATGTTTTAATTACTAATTCACAAAGTGGTATGGAAAATGTATTCTGGTAGGATGTAAAGGAATGTGATTACTATAAATATTTTTCAGGTGATACCAATGCTAGTATTTGTTTCAGAGCAGTCCAGCTTTACATAGAACATTCCTCTTTTGGAATTACTGTCTTATCCATGTCTGATTTGACTACAGAGAACTACAAAAAAATATGGATACTAGACATGCTGGGAAAGGTGGAAGTTAGCAGGAAAAGAGGAAGGCCAAACATCATGTGGAGTAACTCCTTAAAGGACTAATTTCTTATAGGCTTGAGTTTATGTGAGCTGAACTGGCCAGCTGAGGACAGGATGCTTTGGGGAACACTCATTTAGAGGGCTGCCATGTGTTGGAGGCAACTTGACAGCACGTAACAACAAGAAACCAGACCTGCTAGCTGGGGGAATCTGGTAGTCACAAAAAAGTCATTTTTCTAAGATCATGTGTGACAGATTTGCTTGTGATATCTGAAGTTGCTCTTTCCTTCTTCCTCCTCTTTTTAGATACGGAATTCATCTACAAAAACCGGAATGGCTCGGTGATAGTGCACAATGTTGAAACCAACAATTCGACAGTGTTAATAGAGAACAAAATAATCGTAAGTATTATTGCTTAAAAGGCAGATTAATTTCCCAGTTGTCTTGGCCTTCAGACTGTTTTTAAAAAAAGAGAGAAAATGGTTTCCATTTACTTTTGGTACAGCCACAGAGAATTAATAACCTTTTTCAATGTGCTGGAGCAAGCCGCAGTGAAAATTGAAAACACAGATCTTTTAAGAAGCTCACCGTTATGCATCAAAGGTGTGCTTGGCCATTTCCTTGGGGCAAAGATTCGGTTTCACTCCATCAAAGCAGAGTTTGGAAAAAAAAATATTTTTTTTTGGACTACAAATCTCAACATCCACAAAACAGGAGAGCCAATTCTGGTAATTTTTGAGATTTGTGGTCTGAGGAGGAAACATTACCAAGTTCTGCATCCTATTTAGAATCCATCATTTGTGAACACGGAGATGCAGGCCGTTGTAAGGAAAACTGAGTTCCAAAGGAGTAGCCCTGGCTGGCCTTCTATGTGGGGAAGAAGGGAGAGAGTGAAACAGAGAAACGGGGAAGTGGCAGACAAAGAAGGGATACAATATTCAGCCTGTCCTCCACCCTCACACTTTGCAGGGATCTTCAAAATATCCTGGGGCACATGTGAGCCATCCTTCAAATGCCTTCCTGCCTACCGATATTTACAATCAAAGCCCTAAATCCAAATGATACGGTGGGTCGTGCAATCAATTATTGAATGATAAGTCAACCTTTTTGAAAATCCTACTGATTTAATAGCTCTACTCTAGCTGGGATGACCAAATGGATTCGGGCCAGCACCTTGACCTATGTCTTAAAGAGGAACTTGGTAATTGCTATAATTAAGCATCCATGCGCTGTGCTAGATTAAATCGATGAAGTCCACATGCAAAAAAGCATCATGATCACATCTTCAGATTTCTGAGTGCCAAAGTTTTGCAGACATATTAAAACGTATTTCTTTTGGGTGTCGTGGTTATCTTTTGTCTTTTAGGTGTCCATAAAGGCTATTCGATACGAAGTTTCGCCAGACAGAGAATATGGGCTTTTTGCATATGATATTACACCGGTAAGTAAACAGAATTACAATAGAGGCAAACCGATTTAGTGTGTATTTCTCCTTTGATGGAATGGATAGAGTTTTCTAACTGAAGAATGTAGAGCCTTATTCCCACAGGGTTTAAGAGATGATACCATGATCTGCTCTGTCCTTACAACTGAAACAGAGCGTAAAGGAATGAAGAGCCAAAAACAGAGGTGTGAGAATGGCGGAATGGTGTGTTAGTCAAAATGAGGCAAAATGTGGTGACAGAGGAAAAGGCTGATTTACTTCAGGGATGGTTCCCTTGCTATTTCCTTAGCATGTGTACACCTGACACCAGTCAATCTTAGCGGGGATGGCAGACCTCTGTGGTCCTTACCTGGCCACAATCAGGAAGTATGTCAGCCGATGACCTGTCCATTTGATCACTGTGGTTCAGCCAAAAGCCCCAGTGATTTGTGTATCATTGAGACAAGACATATGTTCTGGATCACTGTGTACATTGATGGATTTGATTTGGTTTGATTTGTATACCACCCATTTGGCTACCAAGGCCACTCTGGGTGATTCACAGCAAAATAGACAACAATAATACATTAAATAATAACTGCATTATAGACAATATATAACAACAATATAGAAAAACAAATATACATCAATCAATTATATTAAAAAAGGCCAACATAAAAACAATTAATAAAAACAAGATGGGGGTATTGATTTTATTTACCGTATTTTATATTTCGCTCATCTAGAGCAAAGTCTACTCTGGGTGACTGATAACTTAAGTTGATAACTTAACAGCTGAAGGAAGTAAATTAGTAAATTAAGACTTTGAAGGGAGCATAGGAAACATCATTTCTACTTGGTGTCAGGCCTCATTGCACTAAAAAAAAATCAGCATATTAACTTCAAAACTTCAAGTGCTTCACATTACATGTGACATTCTGTTTCCATTTTTTGTTACCACACCTTTGCCTCTCTGACAAAAAGGAAAGTCTTGTGCGTTAATGTTGTGCTGCATAGCACAGCCAGTTATGGATTGTGCAGCTACAACAGTCGTTCCCAACCTTGGTTGTTCCAGATGTTCTTGGACTGCAATTCCCAGAAGCCTTCACCAGCAGCTGTCCACATTTTCCTAGCAGGATGTTGCAACCCCATGGATGCTTTAGTACACTGATTCTTAACCTTGGGTTACTCAGGAGTTTTGGACTGCAACTCCCAGAAGCCTTCACCACCAGCTGTCCTGACTGGGGTTTCTGGGAGTTGCAGTTCAAAAGCATCCGAGTAACAAAGGTTAAGTACCACTGCTTTAGAATGCCGTGAGGATTTAGCTCCTTTCTGCCAGAGAATCTAGAGATTATTATGTACTGTCAAGATCAAAAATGGCAATCTAAAGTTCGGTTCCACTATAAGGAAGAAATACAGTACACATCAGGGAAAGAAGCTGATGTTCCCAAAGAGCTAAATGCAATCATTACCTGTTTTATGTCCAGCTTTTATGTAGCTGTTGGGATAAAATCCATATTTTTCCCATGTGGCTCACACTGCCACCTAGCAGCTGCACTGAAGCTAAACTTCAGTGAATGCAGATGGTGCCAAACAGGCATTTGCATAGACTCATCTTTGTATGACTTCTCATCTTCCCCTTCACATAATTTTGTAAAATCATCTTACCAAGTCTCCTTTCTCATTCATTCTATACATTTTAACGGAAAGCGAATGTTGGTGTCTTTTGCTTTTGGAACACGTTGATTACACTCTTTCGTGTACTATAATTAAAGTTGGATTCTTAGCATGTTTAAGATTCAGCTCTTCACGCATCTGGGGAATTCAAAGACAAATACTGGATCCAGACAACGATCTGGAGTTACAAACTTTCAGGAACTTATGTTCCAAAAGGGGAATATCTAGGCTATGAAGTGGTTGACAAGGTTTGGTAGATTCTTTGAAAATTCCAACCATGAGGGAGGAACGTATGAATTTCTTAAAGAAATCCCCAGTCCCATTTCCCTGAACCAACCTGTCCACTTAGTTCTGCTTGTTGCGCCAATCTCGAATGAAGCCCAGTGGATGCTGCTCTGCCTTCCTGTTTTTCTGGCCCCTCAACAATTGAGCAAGGAGACCCATCATCCAGCCTCCTGACTGGAGTGGCCAGAAGAGCAGGAAGGCAGAGCAGCGCCAACCGGGCTTTGTCCAAAATTGGCACGATGAGCAAGACACCAGCCGCACATACTGCTACATGACCTCTAAGCAGACAGATTGGTTCAGGGAGGGGGGACTGGGGATCCCAACCACCTGAGTCTGGGATATTCATACTTGGCTACGAATACAAATGTCCCATCTCTAATCCACATAGTCAAAAGTTTTGCTGTAGTCTATAATGTGTAGATGGATCCTCTTCTGAAAAATTTTGGTATTGCCCAGTGGCAAGTATATATTTGCAATATGAACCCTAGTTCCTTTTTTTGTTCAGAATCCAGCCTAAACATCAGACATGTCTCACTCCGTATAAGTTATGGATCATGTGTGGATCTGTTAGAGCAGTACGACAATGGAATCCTTGGAAGGAAATAGTCACTCCGACACTAAAGGCATTCAAGGGAAAATTGGGCAACAATCTTTCAGATATATTTTGATTTGGATTCCTGCATTGATCAGAGGGTTTGACTGGATGATCTAAAAGGCCCCTTCCAACTCCAGTATTCTATTATTCTATTCTAAGTTGTGTGGATACAGTACCTCTTGCTAGAGAGCAGTCCAATGTTTGTTGGAGAAGGTTTTAAGCCAGATTTTGTGCTCAGACTTTTAATTGGTTATTATGTAGACTAGGGATTGAAGTTTAAACGGTCTAGATAAATACCTTCTAATACTCTATACAAAGATCCGTAAGCTTATTGAGCGGCAAGATCTTAACAACTTTGAAACAGTATATACTAGTGTGCAGGGCCTTATTTTAATCTAAATTAGCTGCTGCTGTTTGTGTAATTGGTAATAAAAGAAACACAGGAAAGTAAATGAAGAGGAAAGTGGCTTTGTTAAGTGACACAGCAAGATAATAAACAAAGAATGCTTAATTGCTTTTATTATGAATGGCTATAGCTCAAGTGTGGTGTGGCAAAGATAAAGAATAGACCAGTGTGTGTGTTTCTCCCTCCCAACTGTGTTATGGTGTGTGTGTGTTTTCCAGCTTGGAAGTCCATTGTGATATTGTTAGCTAGCAGAGGGCAATTAAATAACTGAGGAATTCAGATTTCCTTGAATTCTTGTATGCAGACTTCCTGGATGGCTGCAACCCCAGTGTTATCATCCGTTTTGTGGTTAATGCAGTGTGACAGCATATTGCGGGAAAGCTGCAAATAATTAATCATTGCTGTAATTAGCTCAATTCTTGGCTGGGAAAAATTGATTCTGACTATATAGCTCCATCACACCCTTAACCAGCAGTGCAATCTTGGGAATATTTATTCAGATACAAGTCCCACTAAATTCTGTAGGACTGACTCACAGCTAACTGTGCATTCATGTAGGTGTTGGCATATTGGCCAACCCAGACTCTAGGGAAACCTCCTCAGAAGCAGAGGCATGAGTTCAAGGAAAGGGGATTGTATAACTGGGGATCCTAGACAATCCAAAGGCATGCCTCTGTGCCTAGTGAGTTATCAAGTTGGAACCAACTTATAGTGACCCTAGTGGAGTTTTTAAGGTACGTGAGATATTTAAGGAGCAGTTTTACCATGAGTTTCCATGGCCAAGTAAGGATTTGAACCCTGATCTACAGAGTCCTAATCTGTCACTCCGTCCACTATACTACATGGGATACCCCCTCAATAATCTCTACAGTATCATCCAAAACCCTGCCTCGGTCTCTGATCCTCCCCCCCCTTTCATCCCCTACAGTTTAAGAGCAAAACCTATAGAAACTCATTTGCTTCAGCCCCAGCCTTTCCCCACCCCCATGATTCCCAGTAACCTAGTAGTTTGCACCCTAAATTACTGAGCAGACTAGAAGCAGAGGATGCTAAAGCATCTGTATCTTTAAGTGTGTAGAACAGATACTGTTGCCATTGTCACCCAGGGATTATCAAAACTATCTTATATGTGGATATTCTACTGTTCTCTGTTCTTAAATAGATAGATTTCCATGTGGTGCATGTCATTGCACAGCAGTACAGTGTGTCAGCGATTCGTTATGTCTTTTTGCATTGTAATTTTTTTTCAATAGACAATATTCTCGACTCTGGATATTTTGGTACTTGATCACAGTTTAAGGCAACAGAAGAAATCCTAGATGCTTCCAGCATATTAAATCAATGAGATGATCACTTTTCACCATTTCTCATCATTCACAGCAGCTCCCTACTAATATGACCCCCGATGTACAAAAAGCAAGCTTCAAACCTGTAGCAAAGAGACTGAGTGACGTGGCCAAGATGATTCACATAGAGTGCTTAGCCAGTTGAGAAGCTAGACTGAAGTCCATTGTGAGAACATGAGTGTTTTCAAGTTGCGCCACTTGGAAAACTAAGATGGGTCTTTGGTTTTTCCAAAGAGGGGCTTGCAGAGTTAGTCACTAAACAGAAATATGAAGTCAGTTTCACACTTATTCAGCTATACATCCATGCCATTCAAGGTATGCATCATTCTGTGGTACTCTCTTTAGAAACTGTACATTTGCATTTATTTTCACAAAGAGGTTATTTATTTACTGTGTATCAGAATTAAAAGGCATAGCTAAGGGGAGCTTCCTACAATCATTTGTGGCCCCCAGTTATTAGCTGTTTTTGCATTCAGCAAGTTTTCAGCATGACTGATTTTGAAAGCAGTGCACCTGTCCTGTACCACAATCACTTATACATTAATATGACAAGCTATTAACAGGCTTAGCTGTGAAGTGCGGAAGCTCAGCCTTAGGAAGTTATGCTTTGCCTTCCTGATGAGCTGGGCACTCAATTTACCGATCTTAGAAAAACGGAAGACTGAATCAACCCGAGCCCGTTGGGATCACATTCAGGTTGCGAGTAGGG